AGCGTGGCAGTTTCACCAAAGGATCCCATCGCTTTCAGGCTGCCTTTGCTATTATTTAAGCCATAACATTTTAAGTCACCTATGTTGTTTTTCCTTACTGTGGCTGAGCTCTGCCACCAAAGCAAACAGGGGCTTGAGACTACTTCTCTGCTCTGCCTTCCAGGCTGCCTTCATCCCAGGGATGCTGCCAGTCGCAGCGGTGGCAAATGGCAAGTGCCATAAACACGTGCGCTCACAGTAGCAAGTCTTGCTGGAGGGAATCCCCAGTGAGACCCAAAATACCTGTTGTTTGGATACGTTCAAGTCAGGTTTCAGGGGAAAGGGCCTTTTTTCCCCCTGGTTGTTTGTTTTTTTTCCTCTGGGAGAATACCTGCCCCTGTTTTCTCTGCTGTCATCCAAGTTGAGTAATTTGATCACTTTGCTAGGCTTCTACAATCATAAGTGTTGTCCAAGAATGTGTCTTTAAAATAAATTTGCTAAGGGGTTCTGCCTGGGTTATTGGTTAGAAAACAACAAAAATGTATTCTGTATCTCCAACCACTCTTTTGTCAGTGCATACGGAATACTACAATGTAGGAGAAAAGCACTGGCAGCATCCCAGGTAACGCTGGCAGCACACCACCATTCCGCCTTTAACAGTGATTGCTATCCAAAACATGTCATTCTTTACTCACACAGATGTATATATATACATAATTGAAAAATCTACATCTTTTTTCATAATCCTGTTCGCTGAAATAGCTGAACACTTTGGACTGTCCTTGTTAGATAGAAAATACCCTGAGGCAGAGTCCCAGGATGGAGCATTTCAGCCAGAAATTCCCACTCCCCCAAGTTACAGCCTCTCTGCAGAGGTGTCAGGCAGCCCCGACATCGGCGCTGCCAGCCCTACCTGATGCACACAAACCCTCCCTTTGCTCTCTAGGTTCAAATCAAGCTGGCACGATTTCCTACCTGCTTTCTCAGGAGCCCCCATCGCCAAAGGGCCGGACGCTGGTGCCTGGTGAGAGAGCAGCAAAGCCCGAGGAGGAGCCCATCTCCTACAGCGTCACCTGCTGCGATTTCACTCCTGTGGGTGGAAAGGCGAGTAGCTGCTGCCTAATGGCGATGGGCTGCACCTTGGCTGCATCCACACTCCAGAGCAGCTGGAGCCCAGCACCTGCCTGCTTTTAAAGGGCAGTTGGTGCAGGACTGCTCTCATCCATTTTATCGTTTCTTTTCCCATCTTAGGTAGTGAAGAATGAATTGTTGGAAAAATACTACAAACATGGAGGGAAATTCCTTACCATGCTTCCAGATGGAACAGCGCAGTTATTGTATCCTTTACGGGGTTCATTTGTTTGCATTAGTCCAGGGTTGTAACTGTAATTTTAAGTGTGTCCTAGTCTGCTTTATCACAGAATAACCTGGTCCACCACTTACACTCGCTTCCACAGTCCGAAAAAAAGCAGTAGTGAAACCACTTACATAGCTCTTGGTCTGAAGTTTTTCAAATCAGCCAGTAGCTTCCATGAAGGACGGGCACTTGTGTCTTTAATACCCAGCTTAAGAAGTTCATTGGCCCAGTATTCAGACCCACTCCCGAGCTCTGGCCACCCGTGGAAGGGCGCTGCTGGCCGAGGGGTCCCTGCGGTGTAGGCTCCGAAAGTGCTCAGCCCCGTCCTTCCCCCAGGGACGAACAAGCACGTTTCCCACCAGCACAGCGCTGATGTCTCTGTCCTGCGGGCTGGAGTACATAAGAGGTGCACAGACAAACTGAAATTACCAGTGTAAATAAGAGTACTGTTTGAAGAAATAAAAGCGTGGCAGTTTCACCAAAGGATCCCATCGCTTTCAGGCTGCCTTTGCTATTATTTAAGCCATAACATTTTAAGTCACCTATGTTGTTTTTCCTTACTGTGGCTGAGCTCTGCCACCAAAGCAAACAGGGGCTTGAGACTACTTCTCTGCTCTGCCTTCCAGGCTGCCTTCATCCCAGGGATGCTGCCAGTCGCAGCGGTGGCAAATGGCAAGTGCCATAAACACGTGCGCTCACAGTAGCAAGTCTTGCTGGAGGGAATCCCCAGTGAGACCCAAAATACCTGTTGTTTGGATACGTTCAAGTCAGGTTTCAGGGGAAAGGGCCTTTTTTCCCCCTGGTTGTTTGTTTTTTTTCCTCTGGGAGAATACCTGCCCCTGTTTTCTCTGCTGTCATCCAAGTTGAGTAATTTGATCACTTTGCTAGGCTTCTACAATCATAAGTGTTGTCCAAGAATGTGTCTTTAAAATAAATTTGCTAAGGGGTTCTGCCTGGGTTATTGGTTAGAAAACAACAAAAATGTATTCTGTATCTCCAACCACTCTTTTGTCAGTGCATACGGAATACTACAATGTAGGAGAAAAGCACTGGCAGCATCCCAGGTAACGCTGGCAGCACACCACCATTCCGCCTTTAACAGTGATCTAGGTAATATGTCAATTTTTATATTCCAAAGTAGCGCTCTGAAATATTTAGTATGTAATAATAGACCAACCAGACAAACAAAGGGGTTATGAACACCTTATCTGATGACAGCTATCCATCTGGAAATCTGGCAATCATTGTTGTACGAGAGAAAAACCGGCTTATTTGCATAGTACAGGAAGACAAGCCGAATAACGCCGAAATACGAGCAGTATTTAAGTCCAATGGCAGAAGTACTTGCTATTATCCAAACGGAGCTGTGTGGTATGTTCACATTGGTCAGAGCAGTTTTGCTCTCCACTGCACATTTTAAATTTCAAAGGTCATAAAGGATATTTTTAATAGCATTCAAAAATTAAAAGACAAATACAGCAGCTTGTCAGTCCTGCTTCGGGTGCTTCCCAGAAGAGCAAGGCTACCCCAGCTGTGTCTTGAGATGGAGGGTTAGATCCCAAATTAGCTGTGCCCCAGTCCCGTCCCTCTAGGGAACGAGGGCCATTGGCCATGGGAGCTGCAGGGTGCAGAGCTTTGATTTTCCTCTCTTTTAGGATAAACATGAGTATTCAGGGAGGGCAGTATTTGGACCAAGAGGGCAGCAGGGTGAGAAGGTGGACGTGGCCAAACAGCATCATGTCATCAGGACCCCATGTCCCGCTGAGCCCCATTTTCATCTCCCTGAACCAGCACATGGGGGTCAGGATCCTGGGCCAGGACAAGATCACCGTTTCCTTCCTCGCCATGGGGCAACAAGCAAAATTCAACGTGGGAACCAAAGTGCAGGTATTTCTCAAGCGCACAGGCAGCTCCATGCAAAGCCGCTCCCCACAGCAGGAGTAGGGTGGCCAGGGAAGCTCCCATCTGTGGGGAAGCGTGCTCATCCCGTGGTGGGTGCTCCCCGTGTTGTCCCATGGTCCAGCCCCCCAAAACAGTGGAGGTGTACCTGTGCTCAGTCCCCATGCTTGCCAGCTCTGGCAGCCCTGGCTCTCTGCAAGGGGCTGCAGAGTGTGGGAAGTGCTCCCGTGCAGGTCCCCAGTGTCCCTGGTCACGGCTCCGAGGGTCACCCTGGCTCTGCCGCGGGGAGGAGAGCTGTGATCCATGCGGACAGGGTGTGTGGCAGCTCCCTTCCTCCACAGGCTCCTGCCACGGGGGCAGGTTTGTCTGCTGGGGAGAGACCAAAGCCCCGAAGCCCTGTCCCATGCTGCTGTGGCTCTGCTGACACGATCGCCTCTGCTCCCCAGGTCAGCGATGTCGGCCAGCTGCCTCCCCCCACCTGGCTGGGTGAAGATGAGCTCCTGCTGCTTGCCTTCAGGGTGAGGATCCTGTGGCTCTTCGACAGACTGCGTGGATGCTTAAACTTTCCTTCTAATGAGCAATGGGACAAAATCAAGCCTCCAGCATACCTTATCACACAGACTTTAAAGATCTTACAGCTTTGCACAACTTCTGACATAAGTGATGAACTACGCAGCTCAGTCAGAGCAATAGTAAATGCTCAAGTCTGACCAGCACATGTGTGGTGGTGAAGGCAAAACAAGCCGAGTGAGACGCTCCATGCTGCTGCAGTGCCTGCACACACTCCACAAGGTTTCACCTGCAGTCCTGCCCTGCCATAGCACGGAGCAAAGGGCAGCCCGTGGCTGTTCTGCACGGCCCCTCTCCTGGGGCCGTCCCACCCCTCTGGGGTCTCGCTCAGCATAAGCGGGGCTGTGGGGCAGGGAGTACCAGAGCACATTTTCTTGTCAGCCCACGCTGAAGTGCATCTTGGCCATGGAGGCACGAAGAGAGGGTTTGCTCAGGGCAGAGTAAATCCGTGCTTGATGTTGGCGCATTGCTCCTGAGCAACCTCTCTTCTGTCTCCTGGCAGAAACCAGCCCAGGCTGACCAGTTGTTTCAGTCCGTAGACGTGGCACAAAGATAAAAGCAAACAGCACAGCTAAGTCATAGCCTGTGACAGGTATATGGGGAGGAGGTGTTTGCTCAGAAGTCACCCACACAGGCATTGCTCTGCACAGCCAGTGCTTCTGCCTAGGACATGGCACCAGTGGGATGCCCAGATCTCCCTGGCACGAGTGCTGGATGGCAGCTCAGCCCGCTGCAGGTACGAGACACAGCAGTTCCCCATGCAGAGGGAGGGACAAAAGCCCACAGTTTGTCCAAAGCAATCAAAGGTCACTGTCTTGGTGACGTTTGTGCAGATGCTGGGGACGGAAGGCCGTTAATGCGGACAGCAGACAGCGTGGATGAGCCACGGCCTCTTGGCAGCAGCTCATAAACAGCTGATGCAGCAGGAAGACTCTGCTGCACCGGGCGTCCTGCTTGTCCCTCCCGCTGTGGGCCTGGTGGCCGCAGGAGCAGCATGGGTGGAGGTGGTGGGGCACGGACCCCTCATGAACCAGGTGCCTCGGGCCAGCCCCCGCCCCAGCTCCCAACAGTTTGGACATTCGAGGCCAGGGGCTTCACCTGGCCCTTCATCCTGCACCTGAGCAGCTTTGTGAGGTGGCTCTGGATGTCTTTGCTGTACAGGGCGCAGATGAGGGGGTTGATGAGGGAGCTGGTCTCACCCAGCAGTAATAAGGCACCCTTGAGCAGGCCAGCCAGGTTGCAGGAGCTGCAGGTGGCCTGCACGGTGCCCCCCCAGGCTGAAGCCAACAAGGACGATGAGCACAGTCCGCAGTCCCTTGAAGTGCTGCGGGCAGGCGCGGAGGCACCCCGTCTGGGTGCAGGCGTGCTGGAGCTGTGTGTGCTGCACGTAGGCAATGCTGCCCGCTGAGACATGCAGGCACACCAGCACCAGCAGGGATGGAGCAAAGATGCCAAAGCAGATTGCATAGAGGTACTCGCTCCTGGCCGCGTACAGGAGCCTGCAGTAACCCGTGTAGTTGCCTCGCTGGAGGGAGGGCAAGATCAGAGGCAAGTGCCAGAAAAGGAAGGACAGCATCCAGAGGACAACAAGGGAGAGGATCATGGGCATTTTCTTCAGGAGAGTGGAGTAGGAAAGTGGCAGCGTCACCGCCAGCTACCTGTCCGGGGAGATCAGGAGCAGGGTCAGGATGGAGCCGATGCAAGGCGTCATGCTCAGGGCGATGCACAGGAGGCAGGCCTTGCTGCGGTCAAAATCCCTGTCAAGGCTGTCGTCCAGCGCCTCAGCGATGCACCTCACGCCCACCAGCAGGTCAGCGGTGGTCAGGTTGGGGATGTTGATGTAGCTGGTGCCTGGCTGCTTCCTCAGCAGCTGGTAGGCGGCCACAATCACCAGCAGGTTGGCCAGGGGGACGAGGCACCTCAGGAGGGAGTGCAGCACCACATACAGGAGGTTGACCGTCTTCCCTGGCGAGGAGGGTTGAAAGAGGTGCCCAGGAAAACTTGGCCCCAGTGCGGAAAAACCCCACCATGAGGAGACGTGTGGCCGAGCTGGAGGGATGGAACAGAAGTGCCTCAGACCCTCCAGCTGCAGACTGAGGCCAGGAGCACCTAAGTCAGTCCTTTAAGGGGCAGTTTGTCCATCCCAGGAGACTTCCGGGATGTGTAACGGCTGTTACACGTAAGCCGTCTGCAGCAGAGATCTGTCTTCTGGTCTCCTCTCGTGCTGGCATAAATGAGATGTAACCCTGCTAAAAACTGGCATTACAATGGCACAACAGGTCAAAATCGAACTCACAGGTGTGATCTTCAACTTTCTAAACCAAAGATTTAGAATCCAGAAGTTTTTGAATCTAATGAAAGATTTTCACCCAAGCCACCGCGCCCGAGTCTGCAAAGGTCTGTGTTTCACGGGAGCTGGACTGTGTGGCAGCCGGATGCTGCTCTGCCTCAGGCCCTGTGGCATGGGGGGACAGTCCCTTGCTACAGCTCTGGGGAAAGCTCGGAAATTGCGTGGGCACAGAGAGGTGAAGGGGAGCTGGCGGCAGGTGTGTGCCGATGCCCTGCCACTTCTGGTAATTTTAGTATGCGATGTTGCCCAGTGGACTGCGTTACAGGCTTTGGCATGGATGTAAACCTCAATTATTCCATTGACCATCCAGTTTCTGCCCGGAAATCGAGGTCCTGCACTCCACTGACAGCCCTGTGATGAGACCAGTGCGAGCCCGGGTGAGCGAGCAGGAGCAGTCCTCTCCACCACCCCTCTCCTGGGGAGGGGGTGTTTCTCGAGGCGGTGGAGGCTGGCAGGCGCTGTGCATGGCTCCTGGCTACAATGGCATGGCACGAGCCCCTTCCAAATGGTGTTTGCAGTGCTATTAGCAGACCTATCATGCTGCTCATTAACAAGAACTTGCAAGTAGTATCTGTCTTGGACTGGTAGTCTTAAATTCCAAATCTGTGAATAAATGTGAACTTAATGAATAGAGTATGTTCATCCAGAGCCTAATTTGACATAAATTGGATTCAATTTTTTTGGGTTTGTTTACCAGGCAACTTCCTGTTAGTGTTGCAGTTGCAGCTATATAGAGTAAAAGCTCATTTCATATGTGTTTTCTGACGCACGGCCAAGAGATCCTGATAAAGCATAGCCCCGCTCCCCTGGTGTCTCCAGTGTGCCCTTATTTCCCATGGCCTTAGCAGACCAACCTTCAAAATTTTCTGCACTGGCCAGGGCAGTGCTGCCAGGAAACTCCGGTCGTCCTGCTCTGCTGGACGCTCACGGCATTTCCCCACTCACCCACAGCCAAAATCTGTTTGCAGCTGGTTTTGCCCACGTTGGATTCTGCTGGGAATGGCCGAGCAGGTGCTCAGTGGAGGACAGGACAGTGGCTGGAACGGCGGCAGTTTGGGTGGTTTCTGGCACGGCCACAGTGTCATCCCCATGGGCTCGGCAGATGCGTCCCACGCTGGCAGAACAACCGCAGGGGTCCTTGGGTAGTGACAGTGAAGTAACAAACTCAGCCCTGCTGAGATGTGGCCCTGACTGGGGCTGTGCATCTCACCGTCCCCCTAGACCAGGCACGTGGCCTGTCTGCCCCACACACCATCCTCTGGGTTCGTCTCTCCACCGGCCAAGCAGCCGTGCCCGACTCCCAACATCCCGCTGTGGCCACTGCCACCGCCTGGCCAGGCCCACGGAGCTGCAGACAGCAGCTGGGTGCTGCTATGGGAACTGCCCCGGGGGTCAGAAGGGGTAGTTTTGTGGTCAATGCCACTGCATGTCAGAGCCACCACTGTCACCAGCTGATGCACCGCAAGCTGATCCACCATGAGGGAAAGGCTGAGCAACCACTCACCACTGAAGACACGGGCACAGTGAATGGGTGCAGTGCATATAGCCCCAGGAACCACTTCTTACTGTATGCTCTGATCTGCAAACGCCTTCCCTGAAGCATTTATTTAGGGTCTAAAATCTCACTCTGCAAAATGCCAGGACTGGTTTGCAGGTGTAAGGACAAGGAGGCTGGGTGTGACGGGGTGCTGGGGGGGCCTCTTCAGACCTAATTTATCATGGACAGGATGAGGAATGGTGATCCGGGAGCTCTGATTTGCAGCGTTTTGGCCAGAAAAAAGCTGACGTGTCTCGTGATGCTGCCGAGGCACCATGCGCTGAGTGCAGGGATGGGCCCACAGCCCCATTCAGCCGCTCGGCCATGCTCAGCCTGCACACCCTGGCTGCCTGGCCATGTCCCGTCTGTATAGACAGGCTGCCCGGCTGTGCCCCGGCTGCTCTGGGCCCGAGGACGTGCTTCCTTTGCTGTTCCCCCTTCCCCATATGCTCCCATCCGTGAACAGGGTCTGGAGGCTGCAGGACGTCCCTGTGCTGTATGTGGCAGCCTGGGCTGTCGGCCCCGCAGCGCCCAGCAGAGTGTCCTGGCCTAGCAGGTATTCCCGTGGCCCCACACCTCCCTATTGCCAAGAGGCAGCGCCCCAAGGAAGCTGGTGTGTTGGCCACCCGGCCGCCGGTGCTGCGCTGAGAGGGGATGGCGCTGGCTCTCTGGGAGGGGCACGGACCGCCCGCGTTCCCATCCTCGCTGACTGCTTGTCTCGGCTTTGTTTGGCGAAGCTGCTCCTTATCGCGTTGTGTCACAGCCGTGCTGGGGAGCCTGCCAACCCAGCCAGCGCCTGGGCGGTGAGCTTCTGCCCTGGGTGCTTTCACTCTGTGGCGGCTGGTGCTGAGCACAGGCGAGGACTCTGGCTCTTCTGCATCTTGGAGCATCCCTGTGGGCGTGGAGCAAAATCAGATGGGTAGGAGGGAGGCCAAAAGCCCTGGAAAAACCACCGGTGACTTGTGGCAGCTGGGAAGGTCCTGGAGGTCTCCTGGGATGGACAAACTGCCCCTTAAAGGACTGACTTAGGTGCTCCCGGCCTCAGTCTGCAGCTAGAGGATCTGAGGCACTTCTGTTCCATCTCTCCAGCTCAGCCACACATCAGTTTTTCTGTTTGGAAGTGCTCTACGAATAGTGATTGTGGGGCTTGGTCCAGCCCATAAAAACAAGTCTGCTCTGCGCACCCTACAACCCAGAGCAATTAGACACAACCAGAACGCTGCCCAGCCTCTGCCCCTCAGCGGGAACAGCAGAGCACTATGCTTCTGGTGCATTTAAGGGACGTCAGCAAAGGTTCTCGCATACCTAACTCCAACATACCGATACACCGTCTTGCTCAGAGGGAATACTGGGGGCCGCAAGCAGATCACGGGCAAGTATCACTAGGGCGATAATACCAACAGCTCATGGAAAGTCTTAGCCTAGCAACACATCTGTGCATTTATTTGTTTTCTGTCTAATTTGTCTTAAGTGTGTAATTAACGAGAAACTAAAACTCTATCCCCACTAGAAAATTTTGGTTAATCTATTTCAGAAGAGAAGGCATGAATTGCCTAAAGAGATGATTTCATCACAGAGCCAAAGCAGCCTTGAGGCCATTGCGTGTTTAATGGTTGTGATGAAAAACACTTAACAACTGGCATCAACTTTTCTCTCAGCTGGGCGGACAGAGCCGTGGTTACCCAACACATTTCCTACGTCAGTCCCTAAAGCCTTGGGGCAGGTCAAAGACAATTCTTACAAACCACGACAGCTGCCTTCATCGTGGCTCTGCAGATTCCCTTCTCATCCGATTTACTGCCCCAACAGAGAAAAATCTCCCTCACCTCCCCATCCAGAGATAATTTTGGGAAGAAAGACCCAGAAGTACTTTAGCTGGTTTTACAAGGGGCGTGAAACCCCGTAGCTCGGAGCAGGGACAAAAAATGGAGTGGGAGGCAGGCGCTGCCAGGACTGAGCCTCCCTGCACAGGCGCCAGAGCTGCGGCCCCTCAGCCATCCGGCCTGGAGCACACCACAGTCAGGAGACACAATGGTGAAGAGGAACTGCAGGCTGGAGGCTGCAGCCTGCAGCTCACGCTGACTCAGGAAGCCAACCCGAGGAAAATTCCCAGCCCCCGCAAGAAAACTGCGTTTGAGACTTCACTTTAACCCAGTGAGCGTCCCCTGGTACAACAGCACCTGAACGCTAATCGCAGCTGAATCTTGGCAGGCGCACGAAGGAAAAGACAAAGCTCTGCGTGTTCCTTCCAGAACAGGGAGGCTGTTAGGGGCTCAGACAAGACAAACACAAGATCGATGACTTTGGAAAGTAGGCTTTTTATGCATTTTTTCAATTGCAATTCTAAGAATATCCAGTGACTCAAACAAGGTACTTCACACAGTAAATGAGAACTCTTTATTTAAATTAACTTTCTTAGTTTCTCTTTAGGACAGTAGAAAGGCCCAGCTTTTCATCTCTTCAGAATGGTCAAGGAAAAACCTCTTGAGCTGGCCAACACAATTTAAAGAGCAGCTGATCTTAATTTTTACTGAAGTCACAAAACAATGCAACTACTCTGCATATAATTTTGTTTATATAATTTAGCATATAATGCACTGTTCAACTCTGCCATATATTTTGAAAAATATACAAACCTGCTTTAACCACATTAGCGATATTTGATAGACAGCTGTCAATTACTTAGGACAATATCAGACACTCCTATAACTTCATTTTAAACTACAAAAAGAACGTAAATTCATATAAAATAGAACGGATTAAACAAACCTTTTTCCCCCCGAGGAAAAATTAGATATCAACTCAATCTGCCATTGTGTGAAACATGAATATAAAATAAGTTACAATTAGTAATGCCTGCATTGTTGAGCTATGAACTGGTCGAATGAAATCTTAAAAAAACTATACAGTATTATTGCACTCCATGAATGTGCAGTATCTGGAACACGCCAGCACTGAAAGAGGTCTTTCATTAAGTTTTTTTTCAGGAGGCACAACGTGGCTGCGAGAGAAGCATCCAGTCTGTACTAACAGCGTGCTGTCTTCAGTACAGGCCTTCATGGGTCTGAGCCACGCTGCCTTTGGAAATCGCCACTTAATGCCTGGAAACGGAGACACAAGTGTTACAGTCGGCAACTACGCCTGCGTTGAAGGAGCAAACCATCTCCTGCGCTGTCGGAACAGAGAGCCGAGGCATTTCCTGCAAACTGGGGAGAACAGCAGGCTATGTACGCTTTGGATTATAAAACGCGAATTACAAGCACTGCCTCCTGGGATGTCACAACTCATGGCAAGAGAGTACTATTATGATTTTATTCTGGGCGATGGCCTACAAGGATACCATCAGAATGACATTACGTTAGCATGACTTCAAGTAAGGAGACATTACAACACAAAGTCACCAAGTCTCACTATCAGACTCTCCTAACCTGTGGTGTTACTTCCCACATGGATGGAAATACAACTGAATGGGGGGGGGGGGTTGTTGTTGTTCTTTTTCTAAACTCATATCCCATTAAATAAAATTCTACATGAGAACAGTCTTAGCATGCTCTGTAAGCTTGAAGGTGACATCAATCTACTTTGCAACAAAGAATTATGCCCGAGACCTTCCAAATCCATACACATAGGATGCTGGACTTCAGCAAGCCCATCTGAAAAGTACAGGAAACACCAAACTTTTAAATACTAAATAGTATTTTAAAAATATGAAACAACTTCGCTAAATTAATAGGACAAACCAGACTTAACTGAACAAACAGGACATGCCTGCAGGAATCAAAAGTCAACCGTTTCTCGTATTCCCTGCATGAGAACTTGGAGGGACCAATCTCTCTGAATTGCTCTCCCCACTTCAGGAAGCTGCAGGAGCGTTAGCGGAGGGAGAGATCGATGGGGCAAAAAAGTGGGGTTCAAAATCTGAGCTCTGAAGCAGTGAGAAACAGCAGAGCGAGCCCTGGTTACAGAGCATGGTTTCCTACAAGGAGTGAGACTGCCTGCAGTGCTTTGATAGAGTTTAGGTTTCTCCGAGCGTACAACTCCACGTGCTATGTTCTTGCTTTACGTAAACACGAATTTGCAGAAGCCGAATCATTTTAAACAGAGCTCCAAAGGAAATCTGTGCAGGTGTTTGAACAGAGCTAGGTCATTAACTGCTACAGCTGGGACCAACTGATCAGTTTAAGGTGGTGAGCCGAGTTGCAAGATGTCAGTTGACAGAAATAGGAGCACAAGGTCTGTCACTTGAGAGTGGGGTGTCTGTTGGCAAGATAATGCCAAGAAACCAGTCTCTCAAACCAAAGCATTCTTGCACCAAAAACTGCACCACAGCTAATCAATACTTCACTTCAGTCATCTCCTAAACGTCAGCTGCCATTTTTTGCACCAAGATAGTCTTTTTGTAGCACATCAATGTTCCTATGAAGAATCGTAAGCTAAATGTTTTGAAAGCCACAAGTGATATAGGAACACGGAATTGGTTTGTCATCAAATATAAAAGTGTGGATGTGAACCCTCTGCTATGAACAGTCAAGGAATATTTGCGAAAGGTTAAAACAGTACAGCACACAGACGGGAGCAAGAACATGTTCTACTTTCTAGGGTCGTTCAATTAGGTTACAAGTTATAGAGAAATCCTTTGCACATAGACTATTTTAAGGCACATAATGCAGGGTGTTTTCTGATCTCTGCTAACACAGATCACTAACTTAAGGCCTTCTGCACGCAGTAACACATTTTTTTCCGTCCAAAGGAACGCCAGCTTCTAGTTTTGAAATGGGTAGAACAAACCCCAACCCAAAACCTCCCACCAAAACAGAATCTGTAAAATCATCCATGTCAATTTACTGAAAGTTACTAGAACTGGTTCTCCAGTAACGCACTTTTAAATAAACAATGTAAGATTACAACATTCAATCTGCAACATGCGATCCTTCATATTCGAGTCAACAGACAGCCGGTGACTGGAAGAAGACTTACAAGAAGTTTCAGTGCTGATAGATGGGGCTATGATCGATGATGAGGCATTGACTCCATGTGCACATTGAGCTTCATTTCATTATCAAGAATTTGTACAAGCTGCTGCATGGAAGGAAGGTGGCCAGACTCTAGCTTAGACCACACTGGAACATCTACCACAAAACACATGGAGGGGAGAAAAGCACATTGACAAAGTCAGAAAACACACAGGGCTAGTTTAAACATCAAATTTAAAAGATCTAGGAAGCTATGCAAGTTGGTACTATTCTATGTTGAGAGAAATATCTGGTTCAACAATGCTTCCAAACCTCTGGTTACACTAGAACCCAGCCCTGCTAGGAGAACAAAGAGTCTAATGCTGCCATTTAGAAGTACACCACATGGATTTAGAGGTTCAAAATATCCGTTGACAAAACGTCTAAAAATAGATTAGTGAGTGGCAGAATAGCATACTGAGTTTTTAAACCACTGCTAAATCTTTGAAACTTGTGGGTCTCATTAGCCTTCATCTCACTTCTGCCTAACGTCTACAGCTGACCCTCAAAAGTTCTGCTTACCAAGATCTGGCTTGGAAGGTTCCACTCAAAGTAGCTGCAATCATTATTCCCCCCCGCCCCCCCGGAAATATAAAAGGCAGCACAGTCCATAAACACTTTAGGGTAAACACAACATTCATTTCTGACGTTGACAAATACTTACTCCCTCAAATATCCCTCACTGCTATAGCACTTGGTGAACCCACACTGAAAAATGCAGCTGCTGTCATCTATACAAAACCAAAGGCAGACTGGAACCACCTTGTCCCAAAACGCAAACCAGAAACTTACAGAAGTCCAGATGTGACTGTTCACCCCTAGGAAGGCTCTGCTGCCTTGATCTCAGATTTACGACTAGAACTGCATCGCGTTCAACTACTTTGATGCAATACAGTCAGTCTTTAAAAGGTTCTGCAGTATACGACTGGACTTAGAAACTACTATATTGAAATTCATCCTGCACAATCATAAATTGAGATTATAAAGCACAGAGCTAAATTACATACTTGTACCTAGAGCTTGGAAAAATTCTGTACTCCATCAACCTTACATAATCTTTAAAACAGTAAAATTATTTGAAGGCAGAAGGTCCATAGACTCTTAACCTGAAAAATCAGTACTGCTGTTCACTGGCACCAAAAATCTGGGAATAGCAACGGATTCAATAGAATTCCAAGGCTAAACTGTATTAGAAAACAGGATAGGGAAAGCGTCTAATTAACTGGAGAGTATGCTTCCCTAGTCGATCATTTCTTACTTAATGCACGTCACATGCAAAGAAAGAACATAATACAGTTACTCCAAGTGACTAAGCATTACTCTAAGTTTTTTACGTAGCTATTTTAAAATATATAACTGACATCTGTATAAACTACTTTATAAGACATCTATGATTGTCATCATTTACTGTGATATATAACATCTGAAGTTTCAAAATGGACAGCAATTACCACATGCCATCACATTTTGAAACACACCACGTTTCATAACATCATCCCTCATTCTCCCAACACAACAGCTCTCCCAAATCTGCGTGTACACATGCAACACAACGCAATTCCCTTAAACAGAAAGTTCTCTGCTCACCATTCAAAGTTATTTCAAATGCACCTGTTGACATACACTGGTTCTCAATCATGTTGCTCAGGAAGAAGACCATCATACAAGCATAAACCTAGAAGAGAACAGAGAGAATCCCCGATACTTCAGCTGTGTGAGCCACAGCTTATTTTAGTCACTCTTAATAAGCGCTGGACGTTTACAGGTGTCTTTGAATTCCCCTCTGCAATTTATCAAGTAACCTTCTGTCTGCATAAACATCTTCCTTTCATCCTCTTTTTAAAAAGACTCTGCACGTTGCCTTCCCAAGACAGGTATCAAAATAGTTCTGAAACCACCCAACTCACAATCCTGATTCAAACAAAGTTAGATCTTCTCACTCCTTTCCTCCACAAATTTATGCAGATGTTAACACCCAGTTTGCAGAAGTACATGGCTACGATGGCACTTGTAAGATGACAAGGGAACGTAACTGTCCCTGCGTATTGCCTGTCGTTTTCAGAGTAACCTTCAGATCAAAGAACCACAGGCCTAGACACAAACAGCAGAGCAAGTCAAATTGCGCTTGTTCGCAAGAACTGTCAACCCTCTAGCATTTCTTCAAGCTAATCATCTGGAATTTTCTGTGTATATTGGTGCCTCAGGATGAAACGATGCAATCTTCAGCAACACTGCATCTCCCCCCACCGCCTGCACCTTTGTAATTCCCTTTTCACACACAAGGGCACATTCACACGGGTTACTGCAATACCAAAGAATGTGGCATGGGAGAGAGTTAGTTGTTCACAATATCACAGATCACAGGCGTACTGCAGCCAGCCTAGCTCGGTAGTGTATTTGGCCCATTTAATTGAACAGGATGCAGTACAGCTTCTATGCATTCAAACTGACTGGTGACAGAGACCCACTGCACTGGGTAGCTCAGTTTGAGGATCTGTGCACCAATAAAAAGGTTAATATACTTATAAATTGCTTTTGTTTAGTAGAACAAATCTGGAATAAGGTTACCATAAATCAGAGTACAACAACATTAATCTGTTAGCATCATCAGTACTGACTCACAGGGATATTCACCCCACAAGGCATAGTCTGTCATGCCAGAGTATGTTCTGCAAAAACACCCACAAAATTTCAACTTGATTTTTCTAACCACCATCTAATTGCATGCCTGATCTATTAAAAGTCAGATGAAAGGAACAGCTGTGAAATAGTTATGAGACACTAGAAAAGGGAAGCCGTAATTTTAACACCAACGATACTGGCTTGAAACTCTACTCGAGCCCTAAAAAGTAAAAAATTCTTTTATCATCTTTGTCAGTAACGTTAACCTCAGCTGTCCCTCTGCAGCATCATCAGCTTGGAAAGAAAGATGCTGACAATCAAATCTGGGTCTGTCAAAAACATGAAGCATTACTATTAAGAATAATTATGCTACTGTAAAATTCTCAAGTATATTTAGTAATAGAAGCCTAAAAGGTTCTGTTAAGGCTGCAGTGTATGAAAGTTAAATCAGTAAGAATTGTGAAGTACTCCCAGCGCACTCTCATGAAGTCATTCGAAAACTGCTTTTTCAAAACAAAAGAAGAAAGTATGCTGTTTACCTTATTTTCTTGGCCCCACTGCCAGATGCTTGGAGCTTGCATGCCGAAGAAAGCAAATGGATCCTTGCCAACGATTATTAAGCCTATTAATACTAGTTTGAAGACAGACAGGAAGGATGCTATGTGCCTATCAAAAGACGACACATAAAAGTGACTTAGAAGGTTCACAGTTACTACTTCATATACTACTACATATAGCTGTAATTCACCTAATTAGAAGAATTTTGATAGTGTACAATTGTGTCTCAGAGGAAATACAAAACTTTTCAAGTAAGTTTATCTTGCTGTAAAAAAGAAACAAACAACAAAACAACAACAAACCGAAAAAGCAACACACATTAACAAAAACAGGCATCCGCAGAAGGATGCCATTCTTGTACACCATGCATGCAGATTTTTTTTTTTTCCTAAGCAGACCTCAAATAGAGATTTGCTTTCAACTTATACATGTCTAAACTCGATAATACATTCAGTTTCTTGAAGAAGCTGTTCCGTATTATAGACAGGTTTAATTGACATGCACGACTTCCTTGTAAAGCATTTTCCCAGCAGAAGCAGAAAACCCTACAGTTTTTTATAAGAATTAAACCTATAGCCAGAGAGCAAATTAACAGTGAGGTATTCAATCTTGTAGCATTCTTACCATTGTAATTTTTACAGTAGTTAGGTCAAGAAGTGGTTCACAAGCCACCACAGTAACTACGGCATCACTCTCTAGCATGTACACAATGGCTTAAATAATAGGACTAACACTATTTTTGTTTTGCCTTTTTCCAAATTTCTTTGGGTTTCCCCACCCCACCAAACTGCAGTTAAGGACATCCTGGTAGTCTCTCCGATGAGGTTAGCTCTCCCCTGCCTTAGATGTTAAAAAACAAACTCTTCCCTCCTCTGCAACCTTAACCTATTACAGGAATTTGTCACTAAGTGCATAAGCCTGAGCAACAAATGTGAATTTATGTCCAGATACGCCATGAAGAAAAGCTGGAAAAATTCACTGTGAAAAAAAGTTAATTATATAATTCACTTTAGATTGGAACGTTACAGGCCTCATCAGACAGATATGCAGATGGTAATATTTGTATGGAAAACTAAGGTGACTATCTGGAAGGGAGAAGATAACCAAGCCTGTACGTAATCATAATGGAAAAAAACCCTTAAGTTTCCATTTTCAATATTATGCAAATACACACGTTCACCACTCACCATGCTGAGCCTACACATTGGAAAAAAGACAATTAGCAGTGCTAGTCATTTGCTTACCTATATATAGGTTGAGGAAGGTAGTTCTCCCCTTCAATTCGGATGTCTGGGTACCGCTGGCTAATAACCCGCATGTACTCCTCAAACACCCGCCTGTAGCCTCAGGAGACACTAAATGCAGACAGGGATTGTCACTGAACTGGAGTGCTGTATGTTAAAGTCGCTGCTAAACTGGCAACACCAGTACTCGCACTGTTCATAATCCGTTCAGTTTAAAGTAAAACTACAATTCCTCATGCCAAAGAAGAAAACAGACTTGCAGCTAAGTTACACATCAAAAATCCTGACAGCTTGCTAGGCACTTGATTTTACACAAATTTGTTTTCAAGTACTAGCACAGACACTGTTTTGGTAAAGTCCACTCAGCAAGGAATTAACTTGTTTCCCCCATAAAAAGCTGTTAAGTTAGAACGTCAGCACAAGTATCACCTTGCTCTGCATCCAAAAAAAAAAAAAAAGTAAGTTTCACGCAATACAGTTTTAACCACTCATTAGTTAAATTTAACTCTTTCTGGGACTGCCCACAGACAAGTAACATCGCTCCCAGTTATTTCTGTATAAGGATGACCAGATTAACTACAGAAGAGTTAAACATTACTAGACCTGTACTTTGGCTCACATTTCTACCAGCTGCCTCTGTAATAATTGAAATAAAAATTATCCGGCCTCAGCTTACCACAAAAGAAATGAAACAAAGTACTTTCTACTGAGCACGCCTTTTGCGGTGCTTCACAGGTCCGCATGACACAACCTGGACCAGACTCCGCTCCAGGAACGGCAGCGAATATTCTCGTTCCCCCCCGCCCCGCCGAGGCACCCCGGAGCAGCGGCGGGTCCGCCCC